TACCCTTGGCCGGCTGTAAACAAGAGCTGTGTGTTGCTGAGACATCAAGAATTCAACCAGCCACTGACAGAGGACCTAAAATTAGCCTAATGTTTACCCCCGATGGACAGCAAAGTCTAGAAACAGATTACTTGTGAGGGCCAAAACTGAAGAGTACTTACTTCCTATGGATTTGATCTATTAACAGCCTGTAGCACACAATAACATCCTTATTGTCATTAATTAGCAGAATTATTGTATCAATACACTTTGTCCCTTTGTTATGAAAAGATTCTTTCTAAGTTCACACTGCCAGTGCTGATATCAGGTAAACATTTCTCAGGAGATATGGGGGAAATGAATGACTTGCTGGGAACTGAGCGTTTTTAAGAGTTAGAGGGGGTTGTACTTACTGAAAACGTACAGGGAAAAAAGGAGTGAGTAGGAGAGGAGGATCTCAGGCTGAGAGACAGATGGAGGAGGATTATGAGAGCATGAACAGCAAAACACGTCAAGAATATGAGGAAAATAAACATGCGTCTGGGCGGCCGAGCACTGGCTCAGCAGAGGTCCTTCCCCTTATTTGCACAGCTGGATTTTGCGAGACGGTGAGCAATACTCCCCTCTCTTCTCCCAGACTCTGACACAAGCAGGGGAATTTAGCTTCTACGTGCCAGGCGGCTTCAAAAATAGCACTGGATAACTGCATGGTAGTAACTTAACAACAAGGAAGTGCTCAATAGACTGCAGATCTCTGCCGAGGCCTAATAATCTCCCTAGTGTACACTGTACTGATTCGATAACAGCAAAAGGACATTCATTTCCTAGTCAATATTACACCAGGCATTTTATTTGATTGGTTTAGAGCCAAGGGTCAACCTCCTGGTCTGAAAAGTGGCGCCAATGCAAAAGTGCCTCAAACGTGCATTCTCTCTTATGGCCATCAGGGGGCGACTCCTCTGATTGAGAAAATGACTCTACTTCTCTCTTGATTTATTACCTCAGTAAACATTGTAAACATGAGTTTATGGTCTCAATCTCTAGTTTCAAGTCTTCTTCAATACAGCATGATGTTCATTTAGTAAATGATGGTCCATATCGAGTCAAATAGACGATAAACAGAGTACGCTTTAGGGCGTTATTCAGTGTTCTGTTGTAGTAAAAGACACTAAGGAGTCGGCCAATGTTTTTACTGGTAAGTACACTTTGTTCTAAGCATGTTTTTGACTCCAAAAAATCAAGATGGTGAAAGCCAAAATGCCAAATGCAAGGCTTCGAAAAGGTAGTCCACAAACCAAAGGGTGATGTCACGGTGGCCACGTTCAATTATTTTTATATAGTCTATGTTTAGATTTAATAGGATAAAAATGTTTAGTTTAGCCTAGTATCCCCAGGAATTATGTACAAATTAAAAAATTCTGCACCAAATGGTTTGAGTTCAATGCCAACATTCAATACAGGAAGTTGGGTGCCCTATACGTTGAGAAGCAGAAGGGTGTAGAGGTCTGGGTGGTGGATGGACGTGTACTACAACGGACTTTCATGAAGGACACGGGAGTTTGAGTCCGTCACAGACTTGTGTTTTAGTTGTCTAACCCTAACCAAGCAATATTTTACTTGCCTATCTTTCCCTAACCTTAGCCATGCCATAGTTGCCATGTGCAGATATTGCACGTTCAAACATATGGGTGCAGGGATAACTTGTGACAGCTTTTGCATGCACATCCTCCATTATAGTGTTATGGAGTGTTGCCTAAATGATGAGGGGATGCCGAATGCTGTAACTTATTTTAACAAACTCTTAACTTGTTTGTTTACCATATTTTATTGTACATTTTCATATTTTCCAATTGTATTTTACTATTGCTATTGTATGTTTATATATTTCTATATATGTCACATACCAATCACCAGGGCAAATGTCTTGTATGTGTAACATACTGGACAATAAACCGTTTCTGATTGTCTATGTCTGATACACGTGTTTGTTTGTTTTTTCCTTCTATTATTTTCTTGTGCATGTGTGTGTGTATTTACTCATTTTTATTTTTACATTTAATGTTTTCTTTTATTACAGGGGTTTATTATCAGTAATATCTGTCATCATCACTATTTTACTTGAACGTTGAAGTACATTTGCATAGCATTTTTCCATTCTTTTTTTTCAAATACTTTTTTCCATATGAATTTTTTCACGCACAAATGCAAAATCTTTATGTATCCAACAATTGCACTGAAAATTAGGAATCACTAACATTCAAGCTTCTGTGACAGATTTCTATGTTTGGGCAGACAGAGATGCACATTTTGTTGTTGCTACGTTTGACTTAAAATATAAAGTATAAAGTATTGAGAGGAACCTAAGTGCCCGACAAGAAAGAACATACAAAAATAAATGAGAGGCTTCGTAACAAGACCAATATTTTCTTTGATTATGCTGGAGATGTGTTATTCCTAGAATTTAGAATACCTCTGTTAAGTAACCCATTTGTAAAATTACCAGAACATGTTTACAGAGTATTCCTTTCTAATGTTGAAAAATAAATAGCAGGATCTGACCATTAAAGTAATTGTTAAGGATTGCAAATTAAGTGCGATTACAAAATGCAGGCACATTATCTGGAACATTTGGTCATGTCGTAACCACTTTGTTGTGGAGTGGCAGCTTGTAATACCATACAAACATTAAAACCACACCCCATTTGAAACTAGACAGTGCTGATGCAATCAGTCCGAGAAAACCAGTTCTCATACTAGACATACAATTATTTAAGTCTAGATACTTTTATATCAACATTTCTGGTTAAAGTTAAAAGTTATGTCAACATTGGAAACAAAGATCTTAATGTTGAAAAAGTTATACAAACTAAGATTCTATGAATTTCCCCTGCAGGTACATTTCCTGGAAGCCTAGCATTAACCATGAAGTTAATGCCAATCATACAAGTGCTGCTTCACATGCATGTCAGTGTTGTAGTCCAGACCACCTAAACCGAGACCAAGTCATTACCAAGTGTATTAAAACTGACACAAGACCAGACCAGTGCGAGTCCCACACTGCATGACGCACTTAAATGTGGAACATACAAAACACACCTTTAAACGAATCTGAAAGATCCACTTTCACATTCCTATTCATTCAGTGCCATGTACACTGTATATATGTGAATGTATAAGTGTACCATGTGAAGTGATAAAATAATCAAAAGGCATTGCAAGTGTATGTGGGGGAAGTTCCATTTGTTTTCTATGAGCTATCAAAGTAATGATGTTAACAAATAAATCAGACAATGCACAGGCACTTTAGTGATATCCCCTATCTTGAAATAAAATCCTGAGTTCTCTTTGACTCAAGACCGATCTCGAGTTCTACAACACTGACGCATGTCCTACACAAACTAGTACAGTCCCTTCATCCTGTTTAGGCTAGCTGGCCAGAGAATCATGGCTTCACAGATATAATCAGGTGTGCAGATAACTAGTAAGTCAAAACAGAGTTTATGGCATAATTAAATACAACAGCCGATTATTGAGACATTTCTAGCCATTTAACAGTGCACACACATGGTTGCTAGTTTGCTTTAACAAATACCGTCTTCCTACCAAAAGAGAGATAAAGACAGGCGATTAACTTCTTTCTCATTGCCAGTAGACAAGTATGTCTTTCTGTTCTGAAAACAGGGTTAGTAAACAGTTGAAAGCATCATGGAGGCCACTGGAAATGTTAGGGCGGTTACTACTTTTTATCCCCACTAGCAGGATCAGACGATCGGTCACGTGCGTACCTCTGTGTCTGTCCACGGTAAATCTCTCATTCTGCTGCAGTAAACTGCATCCTATTTTGGATGCCCAGTTATTGGCTGCATGCTCAAGGGCCTCCGACTCAAACTTTTTATTTTATTGCCTGTTTTCTACTGCCTGCCGACTCCTCACTCACTACTCTGAACCTAGTGCTAACACAGCTGAGTGAGTCTCTGACCCCTATCTGCTACTCTGCGTCAAGAGACACAGTCGAGGTATAACAGTTTGCGATGTGTTTGGCCAATAGCTAACGAAATGAATTGTGTGTTGCTAGCAGCTAACGGAACTACCAGTACTGGTGCGTACATTATCGGCTGTTGCTCTGCGGCACACTTTTATTGTTGGGGACGGTGTGTTTGGCTAACCACTTACGGCTAACAGAACTACCAGTGCACACACTGCTGCACCTCGGCCATTGACTGCATACATCGCCGCTTGTTTTGAAGTTTGAACAAAGTGTGTTTTATGACGCTTTACAGCCCATTGGTAGCGTACATCACTGAGAGTTGGCTCACTTGTATTGTTTTGTAAGGAGTGTTTGGTTTACTGCTAACAGCTAACGGAGCTACCGGTACACACACTGTACTTCGCCACAACTCAGCTGCTGCTAAGCGACCAGAAAGCTTTGCGAGTATAATTTAGTTTTTGGCAAAACTGTATGACATGTCTTGTACGACAACCTGGTGACAACGAGTCGCCATAGCAGTCATAGCAAGAGACGAAAATGAGCGTATCCGCCCATGTCATGTTTCATGTCATGTTTCCATCGCTGCCGATCGGAGCTGGAGCGGATAAACACCCGTGACTACAAGTGTCATTTGTCTCGGGAATGAATGCTGATTATAACCTTTCCCACTGAAGACAAAAGCCAGATGTCAGAGGTTTTTTTTGTCCAGTGGCAAAGCGGCTTATGTGTGTATGTGGCACTGCTTCAACTCCCTCCGGCTACTGGAATCAGTGAAGTTATGATCGGCAATTTGACGCATCTGTCTGACATTTAGGACCACATAAGAGAACCATGCAATGTGGCAAATGAATGAAAAGATCTGGCTTTTAACAAGTGGAAAAGAACAAAAACAAATCATGTGGTAAATTTGTTTTTCTTGTGCAAAAGAGTAGTCAAATAAAGCATATACATTTAATGTAAAATAAACCACATTTCTAATTAAGAAAGAAAAAAACTCGCAATGAATGATTCTCACACGAGTGTAGATACTCACCGGTAGCTCTGAGGGTTCAGGGAGAAACTCGGCATCCTCTCCAAAAATAAAATCTGGTGGCAATTCTGGATACTGTGCATTGAATATGATATCCCCTGGGAGGAAAGAAGGAAAAAATGATCAGCTGATTGAAGATTGATATGGAGGACATGAATTCAAAAAGTTGACTTTGCTTGCATGTCATTGTGTGCTGTAAGATGAGCTCAAAGTCTCAATGGATCAACCTAACTTTTATCTCATACGAGCTCATTTTCATATATTTGCACTCTGCAAAAAGAAACTCCATCTCATGTCATTTTGTGTCTAACTGGGCCCTAAAATTTCAACAAGTGAAAAAATGTGTCATTTTGTCTTATATTAACGTGGCAATCTGCCTCATTCCATCTAGGATCAAGATATGTTTACTGCAGAGGGAACACTTTGACATTATCTTAACCTGGACAGTCTTCAATCTGAATTTGATATGTAATAACTTCTTAAGGCGGCTGCTGTACCTACAGTAATGAGCAAACGAGACATTTACCATTGAAGCCATTCAAATCCTGCCAAACAGGTCCGTCTTGTAAAGATAATTGCAGATACTTTTAAAATAGCACACAATAAGCGATGCAAAAATCAAATATGGTTTTAGTTTTTTTTTTTGCGATCTGAAAGGAGTGAAACCAAAAGGTGCTAAAATGTTACACAAGCCTATAATTGTGCTGCAAGACTGTTCTGTTCCGCTTTTTCGCTGCTCCAGCCACAGCAAGAAGCACACACATGGAAGTGTTTTTCTTTGAGAAAGGAGTCAAACGAGGAGACGGGAGGACGGGCTTGTACATCTGTTTGAAACCACTGGCAGTCTGTCAGAGATGTGCTGGCATGGCTCCAGAGGGAAAACAGAGGTCTTGCAAGTGCAACCTTTACAGGTTACATGGACTTTTAAACACCGCTTTGCTCATACAGACGGCGAAGAAAAGTATAGTCTGGCCACTGCATGCCGTGCCTTTCTCAAAGTCTCGCTTCTATTTCGGCAAGACTTTTTTTATTTGTATTGAGGTCATAAGGGCTTAATACGAACAACAACAAAGGCCACAAATTGTAGTTTAGCAGTGGCAGTCACAGCGGTGAAGTGGGAGGGGCTGGGCTAGCGTTAATAGCACTTAGCTCTGTGCCGAGTGCGCCGTGCCTTTTTGCACACTATCAGCGGGCAGGTCCACAGACTGGCACCAACCTGCGGCCCAGCATCCCTGATTAAACAAACGTTCTTCCTCAGGCCACAGCACAGGAAGATACAGCGACTAGTGCAACAGCTGCAGAGACGTCACATGCCACTGGCATGGTTTTGATTATTTTTCTGGTCCGGTTTCAGGTTTCTTCCTAAACTACGATAGATACATACTATACTCTAATGGAAGGGTAAAGAAAGGGTTGATTGCGTGGCTCCATCACAATATACGTACATGTAAAACCCTAATTTCACACAAGATAAGATAGAACTTTATTGGTCCCAAAGGAAATTATTGTGCCAGAGATTGATCAAAGATTCCAACAGAAGAATAAGAAAAAAAAATACATAAACATGTATGAACAATAGAGTGATACGAATACAAAGATAGATTAGCATAAATAAATATAGGAAAAACAATTTAACAAAAATAGAAAAAGCAACAAAAGCTTAGTACCAGTGCCTATTACAAACTAAAATACAAAAGTATTATTGTGCGTAATGTTGACAATAATATTGGCAATGATATTGAAAAGTAAGAAAAAGTTATATTGCACATGATTTTGATGTTTTGTTCTCAGTGTCCGATGTTCATAGAAGTACTTCCTGTATTCTTAAACCGTACATCTACACGTGTCTAGAGTTCAGCTACAACAGAGGTCACAACCATTTCTGCCCAGACAGATTGTTTGAGCAGATTTTGCAAAATAAGCAAAGCTTACTTCCCTTTTGCTAAACATTTTTTTTTTTTCACCAAGCAGGGCCACAATTACTTTATCGACAGCTAAAGGAAACGTCAAACAGATACTCTTGCATTTCATAATGTTCCCAAACTGCAGACACAAGCCCCATCAACTGCAACATATGTCTTACTTATATTTATTATCTTGACCTGCACATTAACAGGCTTCCTTTTTCAAACCCACTGAAATGAGAAGACATCAGTTTAAAAGAACTTTCTGTAACTCACCAGCCACAAAAAGCCTCTTTTACCAATTTAGCTGACAGATCTGACTTACATCGCCAAATTGTGTCATTGACGAGGGTGAGAATATTAGTTGCAGATGATGGAGTTCTGATAAATGATGACACGTGATGTAGCGGGTGCATTTACTTAGATAATTATGGATTTTTAAAAGCCTTGATATAAGACATTATTTCGTCTTCATCAGCTGAATCAGTTCAAAACATGCAGAACTTTTGTCTCCCCGCTTTGGTAAGTGACAGTAATTGCACAAACATCGCAGACGAACGTCTGGTGGTGAGCTCGCCGAATAGTGTTCGTCCTCACCGTCAAACGCTTTCTGTTTTCTTCTGAACGGCCAGTTTCTTTTTTCTTTCATCTTGAGCATCCACAGAAACCTTTCTTACCACCATTCTCCTATGCTGCTCCGTCACTATGGTCTCTCCCCACTTCCTGCCCTCTTTAAATCTGGCTGATTGAAAGCGCATCACCTGCGTGCCAGTACGGAAAAGTCACCGCAGACACCACGACTCCGATATGCCGTGAAATTCAGAGCGCTTGTCCGAGGCGGTGATGGGCGTAATCAGCATTGAGAGAACTCATTCGCCGACTGCTCGAGTGCAACGGACGTTCATCGAGCTTCAAGTTTAGACCTTTTTGCAGAACGCAAGCATATATAAGTGAAATCGCCGGACAAACACACACTCTTTTCAATACTTTGGACTTAAAACTTGATCGGTGACAAACATATTGCCTGTGTGAAAGTTGACAGGCGATAACTGACCTTTTCAGCACGTGTGTGTACATACAGGTCCGACACGGGTCACCATAATTCCCCAAAACACTAAGTAGAAAACATTCAAAACCATGATTATAATCACTTAACATTTTTTTGATGTTGCCCATTGGGCACTTTAGGACGAACGCTCCGACGGCAGAGTCTCTGATGTGAGAGAGCCTTCCAGTAAAAGTCCAACAAAGGCATGTTTACTGGTATCAATTTACAGATTAAGCGTCACCATAATAACAAACCTATTGGGGTTTTTTGTACTTGAAGGATTCCTGTGGGTGCTTTCGGTCAGACTCCTTGCTTATGAAGCTGCTAAACATTCCTATGGTGTCCTCCTGTTAATTGTGCCTTTTGTTCAAGTGATACAGTGTTTACATTGTGTTTGTCATTGGCAACCCTCTTTCTGGTCAACTTACGGTCTTGTCAGGATATTTCCACTGTTTTCATTTAAACCTCTGTACATAATTCTGGTTATTTAAAACGTATTTTAAAAAGTGTCCTGAACGTGTTGGCTTCATTTATCCACTTGGGTTGGAGACCTGAAAACACCCGTCGTCTTCAAAGTGGACCTCTCGAAATTAATCAAGGTTGGATTGAAATGTTTTCTCTGAAATCAAATTAATTCAGCACTGGCCGATTTCTTTTTTCTTTTTTTCAAAGAGCATGCACACATTGCTTGTCTAGACAATGAATCAATTAACCTGAGCACAGTGGGAAAGCTGCAAATTGAAATGCTGTTAGCACTTACATGTTAGAGAACAAACAGATGGAATCAAAATGAACTAAATTGTTCAGTCAGCCACGGTTCCTTAATTTGTGTTTGCTGTAAATCAATCCGGGAACATATTGAAGGATCAACACTATTCAAGACTGAAAAGCCTTAGTTGACCCCTAGTTCTTCTTCGACTACTACTTTTTTGTAGTTTCTCTCCCAAAACTATTTTCACAAAAGCCAACAATAAACGATATCTTTCAAAGACCATACTCTTATCAGTGTATAGTATGTGTGCCTGGGAGAAAGAGTTGCTAGTGCTTGTGTCAGCTCCTCTCCCTCCGGTGCCCATCTGGGTCGAATCCACTTTAAGGTTCTACATCAGATTTATCTCTCCACATTAAAGTTTTACCCGTAGTAGATGACAAATGCGACCGCTGTGCACAATCCCCAGCTGACCTGAAGCACATGTTCTGGTCAGGCCCTAAATTGATACGTTTCTGGTGCTCCTTTTGTGGAATGGCCTCTGAAGTCATTGGGGTTGGAGGTCCTACCTGGTGTAGCTATTTTTGGAGGGCCCGAGTTAGATGAACCCTCCACATTGAGGCGGCTTAGCATAATTGCTTTTGGTTCTCCTCCCCGTCGTAGAAGGATATTACCTCTTTGGAAGTCCCCCTTCATCATCATTCCTTTTGCAGGACATGATTCATTTTTCCAGTTCCTTAAAGTGGAAAAACAAATCTAATTTGCCCAGAAATTGTACTCTACCTGGCAGCTCCTCTCATCTTATTATGACCAACTACCAGTGCTTCACTATGATTAGGACCGCTCGTGTTATTTGCATTATATGTTCTAACTTTAATTGGATGCTGTGTATTGTTGTATACTATTATACTTATGGAATATATGGGACTTCATTTTCTCCAACTGCTAAAATGTAAAGTATGACTTGTGCAAACAGAAATGACGACTAACAATTCATTTGTAAATGCTGCTTTGATGTCCCCGACGTTTGTACTTTGTGTTTGGAGCATTGAGTATTTGATGTCAACTCCTCCAACCTATTTTATTTGTAATTTATATTTTAGTTTTTCTGTTAAATAATGGTTATTTCTGTCATTAATACTTATTTGCTTCATTTATTTATTCATATTTTTGTTTTACCTTTTTGCGTTGGCAGTAGGTGAGGGTTGGGTGGGAGAGGGGCTGGGGTCACATCGGACATATTCGTATGTTTTTTGTTCACCTAACGTTCCTTCCAATAACATGTTACAGATAAAAAGCCAACAATACAAACAACTCTTCAACACAGGATTAGTGAGTATTCAACCAACATCCGAGACTAAACTGATCAGATTCAAAGAGTCATTTACTCACATTTCAAGGTTTCTCCAGCGTAGGGGATGTGAAGTTTGAAGCGATCACAGCAGGGGCCAGGGGTCAGAGATGTACAGCTGAACATGGTAGTTAATGGAAACAGAAAAACACAATCAACGTAAGAGTTTGAGAACAGTGAGCATCAGAAAGTTTAATGATTGATTTAAAGCACATCGTATTTCTGACTGTGATGCTGCAAACTTAAAATCGTGTTCTCAACACGGACAGACCGCACCACTTTCTCTTTCATGTCAAACCCTTTTCTATACAGGAGTCACTTTTAGAACTCAAGCTGCCTGAAATGTCAGCTGGCCGTCATGTTCCTCCAATAATTCCACGTTCACTTTATATGAGAATAACGTGGAGCTAAGCGATGGAAAAAATGTATCGACCTAAACTTGTTAATGCGTTTAACTTTTCCAAATCAACTTCTCGACTGACGTTTTAAGAGGATTTAGGTTTTGCCCATTTATATTCTCCCAATCAACCGGCATGCACCTCGTGGGGGGGTTACATTAGTGGGATTATTAATTTCTTTGTAATATGAAGTCATGAATAATAAAATGAAGGTGTACTGCTGAGACGTTTGTAGTGACAGTGAGAAGTATAGAGAACATTTTTCTTTTCTTTTTTTAATGCATGCGAGTTCAGGAAATCTAAGGAATCCAGTTCTGTACAAAAAACTATTTTTTATATTTTGTATTTATCTTAGAATGTGTATTTATGTCATTAATGTTTTAACCTTTGGTTGGGCAATGGAGGTGGAATAAAACAAGATTCAAACAATGCAAAGACTGCACCATTTTCCTTCGGGATTGACTAATTTCCTGGTAAACAGCAGCATACATATCGACACCAGAATTATCTTACTAGTTTGTCATCAATAGCAACTGTCACTATTAAAACCAAACTTGATCACCTGTAGTTTTAGAAAGGCAAATCATTCAAAAAGCACATTTGATTACAAAGACCAAATCCCATTGAATGATGAGGGTCAACACAACAGGAAGGGACTGTACAGAGCTTTCTTTACATCTTCAGCCACCATACTGTAAGTGGGATGGATCAAATAAGAAAAAAGATCTGATGTTGTTGTAGAAAATATGTACAAGATAATGTGTAGTTCTTTCATTTAAAAAAGGGAAAGGTAGAAGGCTGTGTAGACAAAAACATAAAAACTCAAGGAGCATTCTGGTACGATGATTAAACTGAGGAAGTTGTTTTTGGAGCAAAGGAGGAACGATTAAAACTCCATGCTCAGCTTCAATCTGCAATATTTAAAATAACAAACCTATTGTCACCTTAAGAATATATCAAGGGTTAAAGGATTTATGTCTCAGCATGATTTGGAAAAACTTGACTCAACCACTGTAACGTGTCTTTACAGGTTTCCCTAAAAACAATCAATGAGACAGCTGCAGCTGATTCAGAAGCTGCTGCTGGAGTCCTCACTAAGATCAAGGAGGTGGATCACCTCACTTCAGTACACTGGCTTCCTGTCAAAGAATTCATTTGACAATACTACTGTTGCTTTAAGCGCTGAGTGGTTTAGGGTTTAAATACATTTCTGATGTTCAGTTGCAGACCTGTCAGGTCTTCTGGGACAGGTCTTAACATGCAGAAGCAGCGTTCAGTTTTTGAGCACAAACTTTGGAACAAACTCCAAGAAAAGTGCAGGACCACTGCAACTCTCACTTCTTTTCAGTCGAGGCTGTAGACGTTTCTGTTTGCCGCTGCCTTTTATTAAATCATTTCTGACACTGCACTGTAACTTAGATTTGTGTATTTTATACCCGACTTATTTATTTTAGCATTTTTTTTTTTCTTGTATCATTTGAAAACAGCATGGCTGCAGTGCACAAGTTAGGGCTACTGAATGGACGCCGCTGTGTTTGTTTAACATGTGTAACTCATGGTCCAAAACTGCTCCTCACCCAGTTTTGAGGTCCGTGACACGGAGACAGTTCGTCGAGTCGAGTCCCACACGGCCATTCCGCACAACGCTGGACAGCAAGGGCCGCAGCTCGGGTGAGATCCGGTGCAGTGCAACCTCTGGGGATATGTTGTTCATTGTATCCACTGTTGAGGAGTCTGTGGAGATACAGCAACAGTTCAGAGAAATGCTTTACGTAGCATTTTACAATTAGAAAACATGTATTAGTAGTGGAGATTCAGAGGACCCGAGCTAACATATCATGTAACGTTAACGTAGGTCATTTTAAGCTGTCATGTCAGAATTGAAAGTTACTGTAGACGCTCGCCCGCTTGGTATCGTTAGCCGGTGTTAGCTTACCACGGAAAAGAACGTCAAAATGACACAATTTGAGCAACTAGCTTAGTCAAAAAAATGATCTATTCATTACCGTCCATTTAGATACAACATGCGGTGTGAATTAGAGTACCTGAAATAGCTGAAAATCATACAATTTAAGCATAAACTCCAATGTTTACTTCATGCTCTCAAAATTTCCGGTTCATGTTGTTTGGGTCCTTTTGATAGCCTCGCACTTAGCCGTCTGTAATAATGCCTGTTGACACAGTGAGTGTTTTCACTCCCTGCGCCACATTTTTCGGTTATATATATCTAATAAACAATGGTTCTTTTGATATAATTATAAATAAACAATTATAAGCAATAATACATTTGTATTCCATTGGTTTAGTGTAAGCAATTGTTCTGGCAACACCTGTGACGTTAGGCAGCTGTCATATTGCACTTTGACCGTCACTTTTCTGCTGGGTGTTGGTTTTACCCCTGCAAGAACACTTTTGAATGCAAGGTAATTTTTCTGTCGCATTTCTCAACAACAGTTTGTCTCAACACACTTGATTGATTTGACTTTAGCGTTCATATTTAGCGGGGTCATTCCGCTGTTTCCCCAGTGTTCCTTCATCTCCACAGTTGAAAATTCTGTTTCACACGTAAATGAGTTGCTGACAGTCATCTTAATATTTCCTTTTTGTGGTATTGTGATGTTCATCTGACAGCTATACGTACTTTCTTGCCAAATAAGGATTTGTGTGCACACTGTACAACAATAATACTACAAGTTTGAACTCCACTTTATCAGTAGTAAGACCATTAACACAAAATTGGATTACATCATAAAGGTAAATACATCAACAATTCAACACTCCCCTGTTTTTCATACAAAGTATTTTTTATTTATAATACTTTAGTAATCACCCATTTTAATACACAACTAGCCTACATATGTGTGGAAGTACCTACTCAAGCACTTTAACTACTTACGTATGTGTACGCTTGTATACATATTTACAAATATATACTCATGAGTAAAAGTTTATATTATGTAAACCCTAATTAATACATTTTCCCCCTAAACCCTGTTTCTATTGTTATATTTCACTTCCTTGTAAATATACAGAAGGGTTAATTGAATTAATCCAAAATAAATCACACATTTTATGTGTATGACTACCAGAATCCTGAAAAATGAGGAAAATATATCCCTAAATATATTACAGACAGGGGTGGGTGGCTGTTTGGCATTTATGTTCTTGTATGTGTCATTAAAAAACAAAAATATAGACACATTCAAGGTGTCATTTCACATGACACCTTGAATGTGTTTGTCTTGTACAAAAAGAACAAATCGTACCTGGAAAATATCTAAACGTGAAATGAGTACAAAGGCAGAGAATTTATATCAATGCGTGCAGCAAGACCAGTGGTGTTTCCACAGGGGGGCAATGGGGCTGATTCACAACAGGGAAATTCCACCGTCATGCGGGTGATTCAGAATATGTAACAATACCCATGGATGATGAAGTATCCATTGGAAACAGCAACCGTAAAATATGTAGAGCTGACTATCATCCCACCATTACCGGTGTACTTCATTCAATGACCCGAGGGGTCGTCTTATTGATTCAACGTTCTGCTAAAATAAAAGAGCCTTTGGAAACTAAGTATGTGTGCGTTCGGGTGGACTGAGTATATAAGGAGTATTTCTGTGATTATAGCCATTACCTAAGCTCCGTCTACTTCTTTTTTTTTTAACCATAAATGGTCATATCATTGTAATAACAATCATTATCCAGCCTAACCAGACATAGGCAAAATATGTAATCTTACATGTTTTTTTAAATGGCTCCAACAACAAACTGTTCTTGTGGATTTTGCTTATGGCTAAATTGTTTAACCCACCGTGCGCAACTTTGATTAGCATTCAGACTAAATTGTTTCAAACACATGATGCAGCCTTTTGAGAGCACGCTTTGTTAATTCCCCCCAAAAATGCGAGCGTCATCTCTTTAATCATCTCCTAATTCATGCATTCGTATTCATTAAGGTCTGTGTGTACAAACACGTATTCAGGTTGGTTTGCTTGATCCTGAATCCACCCTCAAATTCAACAAGAGACGGAGAATTTTAAGAGGGCCCCTTGCTGATTTCAAGTGGTTGGACAATGCAGATCCCATAATATTCTCCTGCAGTGGAGATGCCGAGGGTTTTCTGGGCGAGCTCTTCATGCCTGCTGAGGGAAGACAATATGCTGAGAGATGTGGGAAGAGAGAATTGAGCCATCCTGCAGCCAGCGGCCAGGCTTTCCAAGTCCTCCACTGCCTCGGCAGAGATTTGAGGAGATTAACACACTAGCATTAGCTGCGATACAAGCTGAGGATTGAATTAATTATAGACTTTTGCTGGGCCGTGGTGCATTCACGTGGTCTAGCATTGAAATACCCCCCACCTCCACCCCCAATAAGATTGAAACCCATCCAACTCAGCCAGCTATGAATGCTCTATTTTTACCTTCTTCCTTGTTTCAGTCAAGCTCATGCTAATGTGGGAGATAAATAATATCAAGTGATTTTTTTTGTTTGGAGGCTGTTGGGAAAACTAGTTTACATATTTTTCCCCCGAGGAGGCTGCTATGCTTTAGATTTTGTCCTTGTTTATGAATAGCTTTTTCACTGTTAAAAAAAAAATAACTGGACCGAGGTTGAGAAATTCAAGAATCTCCCAAATCGTCAGAGCGTAATTCAAAAGAAGAATCTTTGAAGATATTTCATGTCAAGAAATGAGTGTTGTTGCTGTAGAAATAACACAGATGTGTGTCTCAATCAGATCATGACCGAAGAGGCTTTTGATGTGACGGTGGTTGGCTCCTGTATGACTGACTTGATGAGGTGAGTAACTTTAGTCCGCTAATACACTAGTAGTCGGTGAAACAACTTGTGTCAGTACTCAAATGACTGTAAATAAAGCCAATGTTTCATGAGAAGGCCAAGCACAGAATCTCTAGCTAAATCCGGGTTCAGGAAACTCCTCTGCTTCCTCAGGTGGGCCCAACAGGAAGCAGGACATTGGGCAAATGTTCATGATCATATGAGGACATGTATTTTTAAAGAAAAAATGGCTCTCGACCTTTGAATCAGGACCGAGGTGGCTTTGCTTAAATATAGATAGGGTTTCCAACATTGATTAGCTTGATATGTTTTTGAAAATGTATTAGTATCTAATATTGAAAATATTTATAGCAGACTATTTTTTCACAAACAGTTATAGGGCTTTCCATCTGCATTTGAACCAGTGGTTCCCACCCTGGGGTTCAGGACCCACCAAGATGTCCCTAGATAAATATGAAGAGCCACAAGATGTTTGTTTCACACACCATTATATTTACTTCTTCTGACTGTCTGACTCCAATTGATGTTTTTCTTGTGAAATACTGGACACTTTCACCTCTCTGAGCCACTAAAAGTCCTGGAAATGAAACAGTCCAAGTGGAAAATGTAACTCTTTAGTTAGACTAAATCACTAATCATGTCCACACAAAGACCATAATCTGTGATGAGATGTCACACAAGTAAACATTGCTTCATTTGAAAGGGTCTTACCAAGCACATTTCCACATGCCAAAGCGGTGTGCATGTAGTTGTAGTAAGAGCAATACTCTGCAAAAATGAAGCGTGAGCTGCAATCATTAGCAAGCCCAGCTAACTAGCGTGCTACTGTGTACTGCAATACATATGCAAGTGCATATTTATTTATTCACACGAGTCAGCAGGCGAAGATAAAAAGTCAGCCGGAGACAAGTGATTTCAGCCAATGTTAGCTTATGTTAGAGGATGTGAGCTAACTAGCTACACCTGAAAAAAATCTGCCAGCGACAGTCGTCATTTCAGACGGCAAAATTGATGTTTGTGACTAAAAATGAGAAGCCTGCTTTTGTGTATTACAGCCTGAAATCAATGACCCATTGTTTCAAAACATTACAAAGAATTTAAGTGTTAAGTCTGCTACAAATCCATCCATAGAATGAGTCCTAAAACCAGGAAATGAGTCAGCATTTTTGCACTCCCGGGTCCCTTGTCTCAAAGACAATGGGTTTTTTGAATGGGTTTTTGGTTACAGATTTTCACTTTTTGTTGTACGACATAAATCATGTCAGTAAATGCCTCTTTTGTGAATTTCGAATCTGTTACATGTTAGGCTAAATGAGACTACAAAACCTCATCACGGCGACTAGTCTGCCTTTACAGCCTCGTTGTGTATGCTGGCGCTCATGCAACCTTGGTGCCATGGGTTCATATAGCCTAACGTTAGCTTCTTACTTCTGCAGATTGCATTCATGCTTCAAAAATCCAAAAAAAATGGTTATGGCTAACCCCATAAACCTGTGTTTGCCACAGAGCTTATTTTCTAGAATAATCCAAAAATCCAATGGAAAAAAACAATTTGTTTTTTGTCGAGGGAACCAGTGCGATGCTAACTTCCGGGCTGGGCTACAAATATAAGTAATTTCTGCTGCATTCTGTTATGTTTCGCTATAGAACTCGACAGGCATAGCAACAATAACCTTCGGGGGTGTAGCTTAGCAAACGATCAATTGTCTTTTCCTTAAAACATAATTTTCCATCTGGTATTTTATTTTAAAATGCAAAGCTTGTGGAAAATATGCCATAAGGGCTGAATGGTGTTTTCCATTATGGCTTGAAATGGACTGCACAGTCCTGTCTACACAAGAATAGAGGAAGTAGTCTAAACTTAGATAATGCCACTGGCCGCCTTTTCTACACTTGTCCTAAATGCCCCAAAATGTTGTCGGGAATAATAGTGAGAAGACCTCTGGTTTAAATATCGAGGCATCTGTCCATCTTTCTTTTCTGCCAGAATAATTGATCTACTGTTCCAGCAGATCATTATGACTGTAGAAACCACTAAAATCATTGATCAAGTCATTGACAGAAGACGTAGTTGTGACCATCCCATGGCAAATCTGACTCCGGTCTCAAAGTGTGCGGACGATCTGGTATAATTGCTGCTTACGAAAATGTCAGCGTTGCATCACCCTCATACGTGGTGAGATTTGTCGAGCCAAGTAGGATCCATTCCCACAAATCATTAGTCATCAGTTGCAGCACAATTGGTTAGTTGAAAAACAATTTGTCAGCCTCATTTACCGTAACCTTTGTGAGGAATGACACAATCTCGATGGATGCGTTGAGCAAAATTTACGGTGCGATGTCACGTCTTCGCGTGGCCCCGTTCCACCGACACTTCTCCCTGTCAGAGCCTCTGAAGCATGCTGCTTGAGCTTGTGCGACAGTTGTGTCATACATCTTGCATTATATTTTTTCTGTGTGAAAACTAACTGTCAACCGGCTGCCCGCGAATGGAGATCTAAATGAACAACCACACAATATGTGCCGACAGGAGGAAAATTTTGTGTGCGCGCACTCTAACTCAAATTGTCACATCTTTGTTGTCACCCACAAGTTACAACTTATCAAAAACATATGCCTTCTCCTACTTTTTGATTTGGTTGTTTTTTAGGGGGGCGGAGTATTTGATTTGTTGCTCATTAGCAATTCAACCAGTGACTTTCTGCTTTGAAGGGCAGGCGTAGCCAATTAAGATCCTGATGAGCTAACGGGAAATGGTTTGTTTTTGGAGAGTGTGTGTGTGTGTGTGTGTGTGGGATGGGGGGAATGGGAGCTTTTTGGATGGGGGTCAGAATGCAGATAGGGGCGGGTAGTTGCAATACTTTCGCAGCCCTTCAAAGTGACATGCATGGCTTTGAAGTTAGAAAGCCAGTTGTCTTGAACAGCCAGTTTTTGGGCGGCAGCACAATTGACTGGCAGACAGCGGAGGCACACGAACACAAAAAACACACATCTCACACTCGTCTCTCTCTTCCGCTTCAGTCTCGCCCCACACAAACACACGAGTGTAACTCAGATCCCTATGGCGTTTTTTTGTGATTAATGCATTAGTCAGGCTGTAGAGCATATACTATGCTGCAGTGAAAAGGTTATGTCGGACGTCTACCTACTGTCAGCAGTGCACAAAGAGGAGGAGTGGCGGAGCCTCTCAGGCTTTTATCCCATTGTCAAAGCCATACAGTGCCCCCTGCTGCCTCAGTTCACTGAGTGGAGACACTTATCACCTGCTCAGTGAAGTTTCCCAGCAGAGTCACAATGTAAGCACAGTCAACACACCTTCATCTAATGTTTTTGTTAGACTGAATCTTAAGCCCGGACTCACAGATGCGGGCCCCAACTGTAGGTGTGGCTAGTAACGACTAGAAAATTGATCTGCAACAATTTTGATAATCAACTCATTTTTATTCAAAAATGGATTGCTTCCAGCTTTTCAAATGTGAGTCTCCCCCCCCCCCCCCCAAACCCTTCTTGAGTATTTTCAACTCGGTGTTCTTCAAGTTTAAAAAAACCTTCTCATAATGTTGAAACTTTTGTTAAATATTCTCCATTATTCTGCAATTCTCCTGCAATTCTGCAGCAGTGTGCCAAACTTTTCACGTAAGCTGGGTAAGTTTCCATGAGCGCCAACCAATTCAGACACGGAACAGGTCAACAAGTGGCTTGTTGTACCCACTGATATAGGCAGTTTCTGACCGCCGGTTGAACCATGCAGAAACAAAAACGCCCACGTCGTGCTCCGACACGCCGCCTCTTGTTAGAGAAAGCGGCTTATTGTGACCATGTAAGGTATGCTGTCTTTGCTCGACCTGTTCTTTGTTAAGTCCCTTCACCTTGTCCCGATTCGCTCGAGCCTCTGCCTAAGGAACCTTCGTGGAAGAGGAAAATGATTATGAGTGATGCATATAGGTTTGAAAAGCTTCTCGTCTGAGGCACAAGCCGAGCTGAAGGTTACCACACTTGGATTAAAATGGCTTCTGTGTGAAGAACCACCGTATAGTACCCGTGCTTATCAATCAGTAATTACATGAAAGAAGCTGGAGCTCACTCTGTGTATCTGTAAGTTCACTTCGGAGGTTGTGTTTTGGTAACTGGAAAGACTTTGTGAAAAACAGCATTTTGATTTGGTTTTTGTCCACTTCCCCACGTTACTCACCAACAGCTGAGGAATGACACTCATAGAGACAGAGGAGAGGGAAATGAGAGTCGGCCTTAGAGCAAACACTCCACGTCATCGAAACACCTGCTTCGCTGCCTTTTGGGTTCCATGGGAGAAAACACACCGAGGTTGCACTTTAGCACATAACTGCCCTGTTTGTTTGGCGCACTCACCACAGACAACAATAGCCGAGTGTCTCTCCGGGCACGGGGAGGCGTGGGTGGGTTTATTTAAGAATTTGGAAATCTGTTTATTTTTCGGCTTTAGGTTGCTGTCGGCCAAATGTTATGTTGACAGTGTTTTGTTTTTTTATGATCTACAAATGTCACAATTGTAGGAATATCTCAATAAATATCATAAACATTTAAATGTAGATATCAAATATGATGCACAACCAATCAGTTTCCTGGGCACTTTTATAAAATAGGAAGGCAGAAATGTTTAGTGACCTGTGTATAACGGACACAGATAAACACCAAAGTCTATAACTTTAAAACATGCTTATGATGCATTGTAATCTGTTTATAGCACTGTATAATTAAAGTCATAAGCACTAATAAATATAAAATAATGCTTTAAATAACAAATAATGCTTTATAAAAATAATCACAACATATTTTACAAAGTCACGGTGTCATCCCATAATACTTCAGAATAGCTGGTCACTGCAATGATCAGTGTAATATAATTCCCATAGTTGCAATGCATCATAATATTTAATACATTATAATAGTTTTTACCATGCATTATGATGTGATTATAAGCTACTCTAAGTGGTCATTGTTTGTTTTAAGTAAAGTAGAAGTTTTGTATGTTGTTGCATGATTGTTGTGTGATTTTACGACATCTTTTCCCTTTACTTAAAGTAAACAGAGACTAGAGTAACTCAGAATCACATTATAATGCATTATAGCAGTGAAAAGAATGCATTTAAAAATAATAATAATGTATTGCAACTATTGAAATTACAGTACACTATGATGCTTGCAAAAATAAATATGCAGTATAAGCAGTTATGAAGTATTATGATATCTTTATGTCACTATAAATTGCTTTACAATGTGTTGGGATAATTTTTTTAAATAATTACTAATAGTTGTGAGTGAGAAAAGGTTAGAAAGTCGTACCAATGCCTCCTCTGACATTACAATTCTTTCAGCTTCTCCATCTGAAAAAAGCCGTCGTATCTGTCAGTTTGCCAGCATTGTGCACTCCACTGAAGAAGAATTAAAGACAAGCAGAGGAACTGGAATATCTACTCGATTAAGTAGAAGAAGATTCCACCATGCATGGTTGTCATTGTCATCTGAAGCTAGAGCTTTTTCTCCTTGACTGACACAGGGGGAAGCAGCGAGCTCGGCTCAGACCAAAGGTAGCAAAATCTCACTAAACATGGTATCGTTCTCCTCTTGAGTTTTAATTAAACAAACAAGATAACATGTGTTATTCAGTGAGTTTTCAAGGTGCTGGTGTATTTTGTTAATTTTGGACAGAGCCAGGCTAGCTGTTTTCCAGTCTTTATGCTAAGCTAAGCTAAGCTAGCCGGCTACTGGCGGCAGTCATATTCACCATACAGATATAACAGTGGTATCAAACTCTCTTTCTTTGTGAGACGGGGGACCCCCAGGACTGGCTGCTAGCCTTAGATGTTTTATGAAGGAGGTATTCATTTTGTAATATCTTTTTGTTATTCAGATATGTGTACTGTCTTGTACTTATTACGCATTGTAGTTTTTTTGTGATGTGTGTTTAGTTCACCTGTTGCCACATGGCTTATCACTTTACAGTGTATATAGAAGTTTAATCATAATAAAAGAGTTTCCCCCAACAGAACATAGCCTCTTAATATTTAAATAAATGTGTCGATTGGAAGAAATGTAATAAAGCGGCTGCACAAGTACCCTATTCCTACCTCTTCTACATATTCAAGTAGATTTGGCTAGGTGTGTGTGTGTGTGTGTGTGTGTGTGTGTGTGTGTGTGTGTGTGTG